CTTGGCCAAAACTCGAACAATTCCAAAAATCCTTCGACCATTAAGAACTGAATACTTATAAATTGACATAATATGATCTTTTAACCACAAACTGGTCGGGACAATTTGACCATATTGAAAGATAAGGCTATCAAGCCTTCTATGGCCCCGCGGATATGCGCTAGGTGCACAGCCCGCGCCCTTGAGCCATAACATGAATATATCGCCAACTTATACCGACCGATCCCGCTTAACTGAACCTTAAACATAAAATAAGAGCTAAAGGAAACAGAATTGCTCATGATTTATATTCAACTCATAAGATCATGCCTCATGGCCGCCCGTAGCTACGTGCGATCGACACTAGCGACGGCTTTGGCCAACTCACCGGCAAATCCTCGACTTTACTTAACAATACTTATCAGACTTAACATGAAAAATTAATTAAAGGTTAAACCATCGCTGAATGCTTGGGATTTGCCGGACTGAAATGAAAACAAATCGAGTATGAGCTTACTTAAATAATCGAACCTAGGGCACGGCTTAAAGCATAATTTTACTCGAATTTCCCGAACATTAAACTCTGAAATCATCTTATTAACCTGATTCTAACAGGAGGAAAAGAATACCTTTACTGACGTTCGACGGAATTCGGAACTAAGCGTGCTTCTTCCTTGCGTGCGCTCTGTGTGCCACCCTAATCTTTGCCGTGCGATGGTGCTTGCTTTGGCCGTGCGTTAGCAACAGAATTGAAGGAGAATTTGCTGAATTAGAGTGCTAAGTATAGAGGGATATGTTGCTGAATATAGGATCGGTTCATAAGGGAAAAGTGACGAAAATTTTCCCAAGTAAGTCCTTATATAGGTGCACGGCCGTGGGGTGATGATGGTGGTGTTATGTGGCTAACTCTCCCCTTAACATTTGTTTAGTTCTCCTTAAACTTGTGATGACTAATCATCTCATTTGCTTGCCAAGTATCTAAATTTGATTGGATGATTTCATTTCCCTTTGCTAAGGGAAAGCTTCGGCTTTTGGTTTTCAAAATAGGGAAAATTTCTAAGACATAACAATAAGGGTATTAAGTCACGGCATTTAGGGCTAACTTGGTGATTAAATTTAATTAATCACTCAAATTATGTTTAATTATTTAATTAAACATAATGCTTAATTACCAAAATTATTTCGAACGTAAACGATACGTCGAAAATAGATTTCGGTAATCTCGACTGAACTTAATTAATTCCGAAAATAATAAACGATGACATTATTATATCAGAATCAACCGTAATTTATACCGATAAAATATCGGGATATTACACAATCTACAACTTCTGGCTCGGTAATGGTCACTGACACTTGTTACTGAACGTAG